TGTCCCCTGGGTATTTGTTAGGTTTCTGTTATGTTTTTCTTTTGATATTCAGTTTTGCTTTGCTCTTTTTTTGTGGTTTAGTTCTTATTTTGTTGTGTTCCTTGGGTTTTTCTCATATACTGTCTCAGTCTTGGTTCCGTTATACTTTCTTTTTAGCGTTCAGTTTTGCTTTATTCCTTGTTTTCTAGTGTTAGTGGTTTTATTTTTATTTTGCTGTGTTCTCTGGCTAATTCCTAGTTACTGTTTCAGTCTTGGTTTTGTTTTGTTTTCTTTTGAGTATCCAGTTTTGCTTTACCCCTCTTTTAAAGGGTTTAATTCTTATTTTGTTTTTCTGGTTATTTTCAGTTTTCTTGGTTTCTATTTGTTGCCCTCTGCTGCCCTCCTATGTTCTCCCTTTTCCCTAGCTATTTTCCTTTCTTGCTCTGTGCACACCTGCTCCCAGTTTGCTCATTAGCCCTCTCTTTGTTTCTGTCACCTATAAATACTCTTGCTGTTCTGTTCTTCTTTGCTGGGTCCGCGTCTAACCTAATCAGTCTTCCTCCTACTCGTCTCTCTGAGCCTTCCTCCTTACAGTTCTTCCCCTGATGACTCCTAGGATTTTGGTACCATTTTTTTTTTTCTTTAGATTTTTGTATTTTTGGACTCCTGGTTTCTCGTTTGTTTTTTGCACTTTGTTTTCATTTGGAATTTTGAATTCCTGTAGCCTGTGGTTATAGAATTAGTTTCACTACCCTTCATTAAATAAACTAAAAATTTACCTCTGCCTGCCTGCCTCTGCTTTGGGTCAACGATCCTAACCAAATCTTGACGGTATTAAAGGAGAGCAAATAAAAAATCGTTGTCTGTTTTTCAGCCTGCAGCAACAATGCTGCAAAATATTTTTTTTCATGTAATTTACTGATTGTTATAAATATAGGGCACTGGTCTCTCTTGATTGATTTTTTTTTTTTCTGCCTCCAAACACCTGACTTTAATAAACCACTGATTATTGGGACTTTATGTCTCTTGATTGCTGCAAATCATTTGATTCAGTTTTGTGGAAGCAGAGACACAATTAAACATACGGGACATTGAGTTCTGAGGACCAGGTTTGAGAATGTTTGCTCTAAGGTTTAGCAGCCTCCATACCAGCTCAGTCCTTCCACATCTCCTTCTCAGAAAGCAGAAAGCTGTTTCAAGCCTGGGGTTAAGTGTTTTGTTGAAGGGGGCTAATGACTTGTACCTATTGTATGGCTTATGCAAAGGTAACAAAATGCAGAAGTCCTTAAAATTCCTGGTTCACATGATGAGATTTTTAAATTGTAGTGATTTTCAAAACCTAGGAGTCCCCAAATACAACAATAGAATATTGAAGATATAACAGGTTTGGTCCCTTAGTGAATGGGCTACAGCCACATGGCAAGCACAACACACCACACTGAGGATTTCACTTAGGAAAATTTAGATGTCAAACTGAAAATCTCACAAAACCTTTTGAGAACAAACCTGAGTTCAGAATAAATAAACAAGGCCAATGAGGAAGAAGCAAAGTGGACTGTTTTTTAGCTTGATATATGCAGTCTGATTGGCTACAGGTCAGCACACAACTTATAATATCAGGCCGAGACAGTCAGATATTTTGGATATCCCATTTTGAGGTCAGAGCAGGGCCTGTGCCGAGTACCGAGCAGACCTGATCACTCTTAAACACCACACCCAGCAGGGTTAACTCATGAGATTGTCGTAGGAGCCATTGCAATAATCAGGGACTCTCTGAATCATTATCATCCTATGAACCTGGTATAACCTTGTGGTAGAATAGGCCGTCCAATTGAGAAGCTGTCAACATCATAAAAGAGAATTTCCCGCTTATCTTATCTGTTTACTGCAGGTAAGACATATTCTGTTTGAATTATACCTAGAACAAAATAACGAAATCCTTTTAGGCCCAAATTCAGTAAACTCAAAGTTATTTGAGTTTACTGAATTTCAGTAAACTCAAATAACTCAGTCATTATGATAGAGTTAAAAAGAAAACGTTTAAATTGGAGGAAAAAAAGGTCAGGCCTTATGAGTAGTTTAAATGCGTTTTATTTTTTGGTTTGTAATCAATCTCAGAACAGCTTATCTAAGTGATGAAAGAACACAGTTGGCCAGCATCTCAGTTGCTGAAAGGCCATGTTACATTAAAACAATTAGATTTACACGAGGGTAACGAATGTGGAGCCGTATGGGAGGTCCTCTTGTGATTTTCATCCGCTTCATTTGGAGAGAACAAAGGAGCTTTTTATTTGATCTTTTGCAACAACCCTCATTATATAACTTTTAAAGGATCATACAGTAATGATACAGTAACAACACCTGAGCAAAGTCAGCTTCGTTGGTGTTTGGGCTTAACTGTAAACTGACATTGCTACTAACTGGATTAAGAAAGTAAGACTCTAAAAACTCTGAGAGCTAGCAAAACAGAGAGTTGGAAACAAATGGGATTTGATCCAAACGATATCTGTCATCGCTTTATTCTGCTTCCAACATTTCTGTCTAATGTGCAGCACAGCAGAAGATCAGAGGCAAGTCTAGACACAAAGCAAAATAATCCATTAACTCAGGAAAACTGTTGCATAAAGTATGAAATCCAGCTGAATGTTTATGGGAACACAACCATTAGGTTCCTTTCCTTTTAAAGTAAAACAAAACACAAGTAAATAAAAATAAAACTGATTAGTAGCGGCCCAAATTAAAAGATGTATTTGGTATATTCAAAGTAATATATAAACTTATTGCACCAATTATTACAGTATTGGTTAAACAGAAAGCTAAAATATTCTTTGGTCAGAAAATGAAATATTTGTTACCGAGTGGCAGGAATATTTATAGTCAAACTGATTATAATAGATGGTAGAAGCCACTGACTGCATGGGTCTCTGATCTGATGTGAGCTAGATAAACAAAGGAAGCAGTAAAAACATTTGCGGCATCAATGACATGGCAGTGTTATCTATGACAACAGGGCCTCTGTTACAGCATCAAATCTCTCAAAGGGACACTTGGTTCAGTCACCCTGCCAGCACTGCTTCAGCGCAGTCACACCTTGGAGGTCTCTGGTTCACATCCTTTAGGGGCCTTTTTGTGTGGAGTTTAGATTTTCCTGGAGATTTCTCTCCAGCAGCTCTGCAGTTTAAAGTGAGGCAGGTTAGGTTAAAGACCTATTCTAAATGTGCATTAGGTGAGACTGTTACAATAAACCTAGAGATTACAAATTAGTCAGTTACAAGAAGGGACAGATCAAATTGTACTTTCTAAGATAGCTTAGCTCCTTCAGAGTTTGCAGCAAGATGCTACATATCTTCTATAAGTCTGTTGTGGATAGTGTGATCTCTTCTGCCATCATCTGCTGGGGTAACAGTATTANTTCTAAGAACTCATCTGGAGATTATTTCACAAAGAAGAATTCTTCGTAAAGTGAAGAAAATTTTGGACAAACAGTGAACATCCTCTTCAGAAGATTTTTGAACAACAAGAGTTTCTTCAGTCAGAGGCTTCTACAGATCCAGTGCAAGACAGACCACTACAGAAGATCCTTCCTGTCTCCGGCTATTAACAGCTGAAAAAAACCCTAAGAGTTACTGCAACATTTAATTTCTCTTTAGGATTAATAAAGTATTTTTTGAATTTCAATTGAATTTTACAAATTTAAAAAAACTAATGTGGAGCAGTAACAATACTTAGATTCATATTTTCCCCTGCCTTGAACCAAAGTGTTTATGTAGCTATCACTATTTCCTAGTAACAATAAAACACAATTTTTAAATCCTGGCCATAGCCGTGTGTAGTTTGCTAATCCTCCCTTCCACTTGTGGGTTCTCTTCAGGCACTCTGGTTCCCTTGGACTGATCAAAATCTTGTAGATATTTTATAGATTTGACACATTTTACATTAAGCCCATTATTCCCTATTTAAAATTATTTTTATTGGTCTGATGCAGTATTCCAATCTCGTTGTTTTCTTTTAAAGTATCTTACATGGTGTTTCTCTTGTCTTTTACGAACTAATGATTAAATAAGTTGACTCAATATATTTGTAAATAAAGTTGACTGGTAGCTTTAAAATGCCATACGTTTCTCTCATGTTAGTGTTTGCATAAATGCCTGTCAGTTTATCACTATGATGGACTGGTGACCTGTCCATCTCACCCCATGCCTGCTGGAGATGCAGTCCACTCCCAGCATAAGGACTGTTACAATAATGTTATCGAAATAATGTTTTGTTGTTATATAGCCATGAATTACTTCAGCCAGACACGAGGTACCATTAGAATACTCAGATTACACTCTTTGCTTTCTTCTTTTCACAGAATTTGAAACTGACAAATGTTTGTGAATGGATCAAATAGAAAGCAGATCACCGTCTCCACAGGCAGCCCTACGATGGTGAGTCTCTCCTCTAAAAAAACATCCTCTCACACTGGAGTCACCCAGTCTACCTTTTTTAAGCCTGTTATTTCTACTTTGATTAGGTCACAGCTTACTTTTTTCTCTTGGCTATTTTATTACCATAACACAGAGCGTATTGTGCACACTGAGAAGTGTGTCGTCATATATATATATATATATATATATATATATATATATATATATATATATATATATATATATATATATATATATATATGTACATCGAAAGCAAATTTTACTTGCTACAGTAGGACTTTACCATGAATTGAGGCAATTCTAGCAGCATAAATACACAAAAGGGACCACAAATACTTGGATTTGTTCTTTAGCAAATTTTATTTCTTTTTTTCTTCCTGTCAATAAGTTATAATATTCAATATAGATGGACCTGAACTGACATTTTAGGGAAGGTTTGCCATCCTTAAATAGCTCATACACAATAACCCTGTTTTCATGGCAATATAATATTTTAAGTATATATATACATAAAAAAAACAATATATATATATATATATATATATATATATATATATATA